AATATATATATATATATATATATATATATATATATATATATATAATTCAGAAGTTTTTGTCTACTTGTACACCAAATAGCTGCTACTAATTGCACATACAGGATGGCGAACTACGGGTCTAGAAATTTTCTCTTTACTCTTAAAAAGATGGATCAACTTTGTAGATGTTACTCGTCCTATATGTAATTGCTCTCAATCTGTCCTGGTTCGCTTAGTGGTAACCCCAACTTCCTTAGCATCACCTAGCAAGTTCTTCTGTCAGTCTTGTTCCATCGCCTGCCAGATAAGTGTCTCAATGTCCTGGTACAGATGGTTTTACCAGAAAAAAACTAGCTTATATTCCTGTTTTTCCCCTTTCTGCTTGACAAGCTTCTCCATTTTGTTTAACCTCCTTTTTCATACAGATATATTTGTGTATGTGTGGTGGTGGTTTTGGGGGGGGGGGTCTAATGTTGAAGAAAATAAGAAAGATATGAGATCATTGCCATTCTTTTGTCGTTATAACCTTCTTAACGATATGGAAAAACAGTATAGAGTATAGTGAAGTAGAAGGAAGAGGGAAACATTGTTACCCGTGTTGGTGAAATTTCCTGTGAATCACTTCTCATCTGACAAACTCTGTACCTTTACCCGTATAAGTGAAATTTCCTGTGAATCACTTCTCATCTGACAAACTCTGTACCTTTGGGTTGTTCGAACTTCAGCTTGTGCTCTTTCTAGAATTTGGAGTTATGATTGGCAACAGAATGTGGTCCACTATTTTAGTTCTATTCTACCTTAGGAACTAGCATTCTGAGGCGTTGCAAATTATTAAAGATTAGGGGGATCTATTATTATTGTTATTCTAATTGTGTGAACAAGTGGATTACCTGACATGTGAGGTCAATAAATCAATAAAAAGATCATGATTTTTGTTAATCCCTCCCCTTTTTTTTGGGTATAGGTTCTTAATCGGAATGGATTAGACTGTGATGGACTTGACACTTTGTGCATCAAAGACCAGACTTTTTCTGTTGAAAGTAAGCAACTTCTTTCTCACATTGTATACTGTTCAAGTCAACATGTGATATTCACTAAATGACTAAATGAAAACTGTTTTTTTGTTGTTGCAAGAGAACAAGTTACTTAGTTTTTCTTCTCTTTCTTTTGGTGCTTTGAAGGTGCAGAGAAGGTGGTTGGATGGGCCTTAAGCCATCATTTGATGCAGAACCCTGATGCAAATCCTGACGTGAGGCTTGTTTTGTCTCCTCTGAGGTAATAGAAGTAGCAGCAACAGTTGAGACTATATGCGGCTTGCATAGCTGTAATATTTGTGGTATTGAAGAGTTGTTTTGTATTTTCAATCTTACAGCATTCAATATGGATTGGAAATTCTACAAGCCATGCAAAATGAAAGCAAGAGCTTGAAGAAGTCACTTAAGGTGATACCTTCTTTCTGGTGGTTTTCTTAACTTATATATTCATGAGATGCAATCCTGATGACTCTGGGAGTTTTTTTGGCATATGAATTTGTGAACAAATCGTTTTGTCTGTCACAGGATATTGTGACTGAGAATGAATTTGAAAAGAGACTTCTGGCAGATGTTATCCCCCCCAGCGATATTGGAGTAACATTTGATGATATTGGTGCGCTTGAAAATGTCAAGGATACGTTAAAAGAGCTGGTCATGCTTCCTTTACAAAGACCGGAGCTCTTCTGCAAGGGTCAACTAACCAAGGTTTTCATCTTCAGTTCTTGCTTGTTTACATGGTTGTCTATAAGTGAAACCATATTTTCTTGTTTAGTAGTGTTTGAACTTGTGTTCAAGGATCTATCAGTTAGCACAGATAGTCTTGCTCGTTTCTATCCACTATTTTTATCGATTTGTTGTTATGTCTGACAAAATGTCAAATGAGAAGAAGATGAATGTTGGTCTAACTTGTAGTGAATTGTTATTTTGAGGTCAGTATACTGAGTTCTCTAGGCACTATGGTACTAGTTCGGATGAGGTTTTTAATTTGCAAATTAGAATATTCATCAAGTGTTTAGTGTGGCTGCATTATTTTGATAGCTACTGTAGAAATAAACATAAAGACGATCTTGTAAATTTTCTCACTCGCTTTGCTTATTGAATTTGATTATGAAGTTTCTTGGTTATCTTGATAGAAAAAAAGGGTTCCCTTTTTATTTATCTGTCACCTTCCTATATCAATATGGTAGATATTTCCAGTCTCTTGATCTTTTGAGATCCTTGATATGGATTATCACATTTATAAAAGTATTATGTGGCACTTGAGAAGGTTCTTGTATTTAAATGCTCTCTTTGGTGGGGCAAAAGAAAAACTTTTTGTACCTAATGCTATCTAATTTGGCTTCGCTAAGTATTCTTCTGGGTATCTGACATGTATATCTCATATAAGTCTCATTTGTGATTGCACAAGTTTTCTTACTTGAGAATGTTATTTTTCAAATGTTTACTTTGCAGCCATGCAAGGGAATACTTCTATTTGGACCCCCCGGAACTGGGAAAACCATGCTTGCGAAAGCAGTTGCCACTGAAGCCGGTGCAAACTTTATCAACATTTCAATGTCAAGTATCACTTCAAAGGTTTGCTTCTTTTGGAACTTGTCAGACTGTTCCTATTGTGTATGTTTTCATATCTGCTTCTTGTCATGTATAAATCTTGCTGTTGTTTTCCATGCTGCAGTGGTTTGGCGAGGGTGAGAAATATGTGAAAGCTGTCTTCTCCCTGGCTAGTAAAATTGCTCCAAGTGTCGTTTTTGTCGATGAAGTATGCTTCCTGAACTCTTACTGATGTTTTTGTTCTTTTCTGTTTTATGCTATGCATTTTCTTATTCTCATTCTCCCTTTCTCTGATGTGATCTACCTAAGGTTGATAGCATGCTGGGACGACGGGAAAATCCAGGAGAACATGAGGCCATGCGTAAAATGAAAAATGAATTCATGGTGAATTGGGATGGATTGCGTACAAAAGATACTGAACGAGTATTGGTTCTTGCAGCGACAAACAGACCATTTGATCTTGATGAGGCTGTCATAAGGCGACTGCCGCGTAGGTAAAAGAAGAACCAGCAATTTGCTACCAACAAATTAGGGAAATTTCATCAGTTGATTTTAATGTTCTTATCATGAAATTTTATGAACAGGCTGATGGTCAATTTACCAGATGCTCCAAATAGAGCGAAAATTCTAAAAGTCATACTTGCAAAAGAAGACTTGTCTCCAGATGTTGATCTGGATGCAGTTGCAAGTATGACTGATGGATATTCCGGAAGTGATCTTAAGGTGTATTTGCTACTTCATTATTGTGTGAAAAGTTCCTTTGCTTGTTATGATGTTTGCAGAGGCTGACTTAAGTCCGGTATTTTGCAGAATCTTTGTGTTACAGCGGCATATCAACCCATTAGAGAAATCCTAGAAAAAGAAAAAAAGGTACATGGTTTGTTATTAGATGTTTGTGTGCGTACTCCTTTATTGTTAGAGAACATGCATGGCTTTTTTAATAGATATTGTGAGCTCTGTAGTTTGGATGTGTCAGTTTCACTTTTTTTTTAATTATTATGTGCTTGGGAGGACTTTGTGAAAGCATCGCAATCAAGAGGAACAGGTTGTAGGTACATCAACATAAATGTGAAGGATCTCAGGATGTGGAATTGCTTCTAGAATTTGGGAAAAATGCCTCTTCTTAGATAGTCAGTCATACACTGGCAAATAGTTCAAGATAATGAATAAGCTTCCCTTAGGTAGTTCGAGAAATACTTCACCTAATTTTAATTGTGTTTGTAAGCTCAAGTTAGGAGTCACTTGGGAAGTATTGTTGGAAAACTAAACTAGAGCCATCTCAAGTACATAAATTTTCCGAATTCATGTATTAGGATATAACGTTAAGGAATGGAGAAGTCTGAAGTTAATGATACCTGGAAATACTTGGGTAATGTTATTATTAATTTCAACCCAAGCCGGATGAAGTGAAGAAGAATGCTTTCTTCCACTTATCTTCAAGAGAATTTGATTGATTGAGAGTGCTCTCCCATTTCGAATTTTCAACATTTGGTGCCAGAAATACTATATCTCTGGCGCCTTCTCTTTTGTTTCTCTCACTCACTTCCCTCTCAGAACCCACCATCTTAAAACCATCAATCTGCAACAATTTTCAATACACTTGAAAGTACACATGCAACCCCATATACGGAATGTAAGGAAGGGTGTTGTCAGAGTGGTAGCCTGGTGGCCATAGGCTATGAGGGGAGAAGAAATCTTTTGGCGTGAGTCCATACCATTGAGGGAGGTGGAGAAGTGGTTGGCAGTTGATGGTGTTACTTGGAAAATGGGATTGAAGGTGGTTGAATTTCTTTAAGAATTTAAGTTTATTTCATAGTTTTAAGAAGGTTGGAGTTATGTTATGAATTTGGGAAGATGAGTGGAATTGTGGTTTAGTCGTGGTAGCTGGTATGGAGAAAAAGAACAAAAGATAGTATTAAAAACAAAATTACGTGGCAAAGCATAATTTGTGCATCACATACACTCTACCATCTTTGTTTCATTGTTTAATGTGGTTGTTATTGAAGAATTGGTTTAAATGAGAGTTTGTTAGCGCCTTCCGCTATTTCCCTCCGCATAAAGCCACTATTCTGCAGGCTCATGCCTGCTTAGGCGACTATGCTGGACATTATGGAGGACCATATTAGAAAGAGAATTAGAAGGACTTCAGCACCATCCAGTAATGATGGTGCTGAAGAAAGCTACAAAACAGTTTTTAGAATGCGCCTTTTAAGATAGGAACCAGTCGGCCATATGTGCTTTGCAAGCATATGATTCTCAAATGAGAAATGTAAAATTGTGGCTCTCGTTAAAGAAGCCATGAGATGAGATGTATAGGAAGATCCAAGAAAGAATTCAAGCTTGAGATTTTTAAGTTGAAGACCAAATTGTGTTGGTTATCTTCACCTAGGTTGTTGAAACGTATCTTCCCCAATGTTTCATGGAGTGAAGACTCTAGTTTTCTTAGGGTAGGGGTTGGTGGGGAGAAGGGTTGTGTGATGGAAATAAACCATATCTATTCAGGTACATGGATGTCATTAAGGAGATTGTTAGAGTAGTATTGGGATATGAAAAGAGACTTACTTATGGTGTTCATTGACTTAGAAAAGCATATGACAAAGCCCATATGGAGTTTTTGGTGGAGCCAAAACTCGAGTGAGAACGGTGATTTAAAACACTTTCAATCAAGATGGAGGCTACACCATGTGTTAAGGTTTAGTTTGTTTTTGTTTGTCTTGGTGCTGCATGATAGACGAGACATGGGGTAGTTAGTGATAAAAGGGAGGTTTGGAGATAGACTCGAAGGTCAAGACAGTTGTGGAAGTGAGGATTGATGCACAATCCATCCCTAGGATATGAAGCTTCAAGTATCTTGGGTCGATAATCCAAGGAAATGAGGAGATTGATGATGATGTCATATATCATATTGGAGCGAGGTGGATGAAATGGATGCTCACATTTGACGTCATTCCTGATGAGAATGTTCTATTGAGAAAGGTAAGTTCTATGTAGTGGTGTTAGACCAACTATGTTGTATGGGACCAGTCTAGAATTCACTCATTTAGACAATGAATGAAGTAAAGATGAGGATACTTGGATGGATATGCGGGCACACTTGGAGAGATAAAGATTAGAAACAAAGATTCTGGACAAGGTTGGGGTGGCTTGAGTAATGGACAAGATGTGAGAAGTGAGATTGAGTTTGTTTGGGCATATTGAAAGGAGGAAAAGTTTGTTTGGGCATATTAAAAGGAGGAGCACTGATGCTCGAGTGAGGAGGTGGAGGTTGACAATGATAAGGCTAAGTAGATTGTAGAGGTAGACTAAGTAAGAGTTGGAGAGAGGTAATAAAACATGACATGATCCTAAATAACTAAGCATGGAGATCGAGGATTAAGGTAGAGAGTTAGTAGGTAGTCAAATAATTTTTCCTCTTTCTTGAGGGAGAGTATGGTTGGAATTATCAAAATCATTATTATTATTGTTCTATTATATCTCTCTTCAATGTATTATTATTTTATCTTTGTTGTTTCTTTTACTATTTTATTTTTGTCAGTACTTCCCTTTTACAAGTATTTCCCCCATAACTTTAACCCCCTTGCATTTGTAAATCCTGTTTCTGAAATCACTTCTCTTGAGTCGAGGGTCTATCAGAAACAGCTTCTCTACCTCTCACAAGGTAGAGGTGGTCTGCGTACACCTCACCCTCTCCAGACCCCACTTGTGGATCACAGTGGGTATGCTGTTGTAGAGTGCTCCCTCTGCACTTGATCTGCTATTTATAAAACTTACCCACTTAATAGACTTGCCACTACTGGAATCTCATGCTTGGAGTTGATTTTAGGAACATGCTGCAGCTATGGCAGAAGGTAGACCTACACCAACACCATGCGGTGGTGCAGACATACGACCTTTGAACATGGACGATTTCAAAAATGCTCACGAGCGGGTGAGTTGACAAAAAGTCTTTTAAGCTCACTCTTTATTTTGCTGCATCTGAATGCTGAGAATTCATGTGCTTGGTGTTTATTTAGGTTTGTGCAAGTGTTTCATCGGAATCCATAAATATGACGGAGCTTCTTCAGTGGAATGAACTGTATGGAGAGGGGGGCTCTAGAAGGAAGAAGTCCTTGAGTTATTTTATGTAAAAGTTGTTCATATTGTACATTGATGTCTTAAGGAAGTTCTTAAAAATGTGATCTCCTCAGGCTCAGGTCAAGGTCAGTCGCCGCCCTTTGTGGTTTTCCATGACACCCTGGAAGTTTTTGTACAATGAGTATAGGTCTCTTAAGTTATACATGAGTTTTGAGATGTAATGAGGATGGAGTAGCCCTCTAGGAATAGGTAGTATCTCCACCTTCATTTTCTTTACCCTCTTTCTCACAACGAGCAGAAAGATGTCCGAGGTTCTTATTTTAATGCAGCTGCTACTGTTGCTATTCGTTATATGTCAAGTTGGAAGCAAATAATATGCAAGTCTTGTCGTTGTTTTAGATACTGACTTGGTTCTTTGGATATCTAGTTGTTGATGAGCTTGTACTTGCCGAGTTCCAGCAAAAATACAATGAAATCCCCCGTCCCTCTATTTATTTCATGACACCTTGACTCACTCTCTTCCATTTGTTTCACTTTAAATGGTATTATTGTCTTCAAATTGAACTTTTGGTGCTCTCATAGTATCAAGAAGTAATTTTGGTACTACTGCATGGAACATTTTGGTATTTGGTTAGAGGAATATAAGTACATTCCATGTTTCATAGTTCTTAAGACAAACACATGGTTCTGTTCATTCACTAAACTCAATAACTTGTTCAACGATATCTTTTTCTAATAATAACACTCACATTCGATGGGGCTTTGTGGATGTTATATGATTATACTGATTAGTAGCACTTCGTGACTCTCTATCGTCATCTCAGCTTTGAACTCACGTTTCTTTGATTTTTAGTATTGAAAGTAAGTTAAAGAGTATGAACCTAGACCTAGGATGTGTTGGTATAGCAAAAAACAATATTTTCTTTGTTAGTATCATTTTCTAGTGTTTGGTTGAAAGTGTTGACAGATAGATATACACAGCTGAACTGGTGTTTGGTACTTAATTCTGCTTAAAATAAATTTAGAGACAACACACAATGTGAGATCTTGTTTATATAAAAATAGTAGATAGGTTTTCGTCGATATCACTCATGTTCACCAAACGATGGCGAAAACAGTACCTACAAGGAAGATTCTTTAAAGTTTATATCTTTAGATTTTTTTTATTTTTTTTTGAGATTCAAACTTATATAAGTCTTTTAGAAATTGAGGTCATGCTAAGGTAGTGTAATTTGTGAGATGTTATGATACGAAAATACAAGTTTATGTTCGCGAAAAAGTTATTTGTTATGAGGGTTATATATTAAAGATCTAACACAAAATAGGGGCAGATGAAACCCCAACAAATAAAGCAGAAGGTGACGAAATTTGGTGTCCAACTTCTTTAAAAAAAGAGTATCCAATCATTCACAATGATTGATCACATCCAACAATTACCAAAAAAATATTCAACTTAAGAAATACTGATGAAAAAATTGTGACAACTAAATTAAAAAGAAAAAAATACAAATGCTTCAAGGTAAAGGAAAATACCATTACTTCTTCTTCACTCAAAAAAAATTCAGTGAGGAAATTTAACACATGTCACAACAAATTATTATAAGTCTCCCTTTAGGTAGAAAAATAGTGACATAAAGAAAAGAACATAATGCCCTCTTCTGAAATTGCTTTTCCTCTGCTTCTTTTCTCACCAAAAACTCGTCTAAAAAAGACACTTTTACACAAATATTGCATAGCTATGAGATTTACAAAAAGAAATATCATTCCACTTCTTGTTTTCATTTTATCATTTGCTTCCATTCTCAGACTTGTCAAGATTTCTGTTATCACATCATATTCCTCTCCAATTTTCTCTGCCTTGTCTCTAGTTGAACACAGCCACAACCCCCTCGCGGAGAAAGAAATCAACTTTCTCTATGATCTTGTATCGCGAAAATCCCCCTGCAATATTCTTGTTTTCGGGCTTGAAACACGGTACTCTTCTCAAATTTCAACAATCAATAGGGGTGGATTCACTGTCTTTCTTGAGGACAACCCCGCGAAGATCAAACTTTATAACTCCACAAGTAATGCTGATAGTACTCGAATTCACAGAGTCGAGTATCAAACAGTTGCTAGAGATGCATACAAGATTTTAAAACATGCTAGACAAAACCAGAAAGACTGCTACATTTCAGCAACAGCTAGGCCTAGTAGTTCAAAACATGATGTGCATAGTAATTCATCAAGAAAGTGCAAATTTATGTCACTTGTCACAAATGTTCCCAAGGAAGTGTATGAAGTGAAGTGGGATTTGGTGATTGTTGATGGACCAGAAGGCGATAAACCGGAATCACCAGGAAGAATGGCTGCAATTTATATTGCTGGTGTACTGGCAAGAAGAAGCAAGAACAAGAATGGGACTCATGTATTGGTACATGATGTTGATAGAATGATTGAGAAGTGGTTTTCTTGGGAATTCTTATGTGACACTAATTTGTTTTCTTCTAAAGGGAAATTCTGGGATTTTAACATACTAATAAAACCAAATGCAACTACTTTTTGTCCTTCATAATTGGACATATATAGTCTGCTATCGTAGAAAAAAATTCTTTTGTTTGCTGTTAGATATAGGCATACAGCTTATGTTTATTTCATTACTATATTATCTTACCTTAATTATGTTGAGAGCACAAATTTGTAAATTAGCTCCCTTCTATACATGTTTTAACTTCAAGGATGCCTACATTCATTGATAAGGTTGAATCTCTCCATTTGAATGTTAAATAGTATAGACATTTCCAAAATGGAGATGATGAAGGATAGTACACAAGAAATTAGGGATGTCGAATTGGTGGACTGAATTTAGACAAGTAAAAGTAAAAATATACAACAATGTCCCGATGTAATCTCACAAGTAGTTGTGGGGAGAATAAGATGTATGCAGATCTTATCTCTACCTTTGTGGGATAGAAAAGTTGTATTCAATCAAAGAAGGATAGAAAGGAAAACAGCGATAATAGCAAGATAAAAAATGCAATAGAAGTGATGGGTACTAGTAAAGATGAAGAATAAGATACTACGTGAATACTAAATAAAGAGAATAGGAGACTAGCTTGTAAAAATAGTACAACACACGCTACTATTTATTCTTCTACTCTAATTCTCGACCTTCAAACCTTCCTCCTATCTATGGTCATCTCTTGCCTGCACAACTGAGCATTTTCGTCTCCGCTACCTTCATGCTCTGAAGGTCTGCGATCTTGACGGGCAAGCACAGTGCACTATCCGATATGTAGGTCTAACCATCTTGACGGGCAAGCACAGTGCACTATCCGATATGTAGGTCTAACCATCGCTTTATAGAACTTCTTTTAACCCTACATTCTTGTAGGTCTAACCACCGCTTTATATAACTTCTTTTAACCCTACATTCTTATCTCACAGTACCCCAAATGTGAGCCTCCATTTCACCCACCCCTCCAGTACAATGAGCAGCTGAGTTAAAAACTGAGCGGGTCATCAATCAGTCCAAAGATTACTTGGCTGAAATAAGTCAATAAATGGGTGGATCTTTTGTTTGTTTGCATTATTTGACCTGAAATTCAGCAAGTGTTTCTAACTAATCAGTACGTCAATCTCTATCAGCGTTTGGCTATTCTGTACTACTAATTACTTCCTACTCTTCTTTCTTCTATCACTTTTTGAGGTGATAACTAATTATTACTTCAACAGAGCAATATATTCAATCAAATCTATTTGCTTTAGTCAAGAAAGTCTAATCTCAAGACCAACAAGTGATATGTCAAAGGTGTACCTTTTTTTCCTTGGGACAAATATGACATTAATGATGACCATGGCATACTTGTTACTTCTTATTTCTATCACTTGTTTTTACCCTTATACTCTGAAACCGATCCCCTAATAGAGCAAGGGCCATCTACTGCTTGTTAACAATGAAAGATCAAATGCCAATATTTTCCCATCAAAAGAGCAAACTTAAATCTACAACAACAATTCAGCATGTATGTGTGTCTCATGCACACGCACTAGAGAGTCTAAACAAAACACACCTTTTCAAACCTGATAACCAACAAGGTTTAAATACAAGAGTAGAGTAAACTTTCCCAGCAACACTAGAGATATCTACAGAAAGCAGTATTAGACACAACCTGACAACTAATAAGGTACAGATACAAGAGATTAGTTTCTCCCCATCACCAACATGTTCAGCATCATCAGTATAATCCCAAAAATGAAACTTGATCAGAAATTAGCAAATCTCAGTGTCAAACTTGAGAGATATTCCCATGCTGAAGAGCTCCTGGCACAACAACTTTGCACCATATGGCACATTAACTTTCACAATATCTTCGACTGATTCACAGAACCGGCAAAATGGACCCCTTACCTTACCACCTTGCACAGTTCGCTGGATTACATTTGCCATGTTCTTGCACTTACCACATATGTGCATCTGGGAAGAGTCACTGAGTGTGAAAAGGCGTTCATGCAGATTTGCTGCAGCACCATGAGCTATAAGACAGTCACGCTCCATTTCACCAAACTTAATTCCACCAAAGCGTTTTCTGTCTGCCACTGGTTGGCGAGTAAGGGGATGGACAGGTCCAGTGTTACGGAATTTCACCTTGTCTTCAGCCATATGGATGAGGCGTTGGTAAAATGTTGGGCCCATGAAAATCAGGGAATGAACCATTTCACCTGTCCGACCGTTGTAAACTCTCTCATTTCCCCACCTTGTAAATCCTCGCCTGCAGGTCATATAGCATTTAATAGTCAATGACAAATCACCAGAATTCACAATTGACTACAACAAAATAAACACAGCTTAACTGGTTGGCTCAAGGGCATGGAATTATGAAAAACGATACAGCTTTCAGATATCTTACCCCTGAAGCTGCTCCATTATGGCATCAACTGATAAAGTGGAGAAGGGAGTGGCATATTTTTGACCACCACCTAGAGCAATGCCCTTCCCCAGAGCAGCTTCTAGCAGCTGACCAGGGGTTTGCCTGGAAGGAAATGCATGGGGATTGATAACAATATCTGGAACGATCCCCTGAATCGTAAAAGGGAAGTTTTCCTGAGATTCCAGAAATCCAAGGACACCCTTTTGTCCATGCATGCTGGAGAACTTGTCTCCAAGACATGGAGAACGAACCTGCACACAATGTACAAGATCACTAGAATCATTTAAAGGGAATTAGAACCATCCATACAGTGTCTTCAGGTACTCTTAAGGAAGGATGGTGGAAGAAACATAAAGATGGATATGAGGTGACCAACTCTTCACACATGTATATTTGAATCATAACACAGACATAATGCTTAACGCTAACAGCTATCTTTGCAAACATTTTTTTAAGAAGGTAAAGTAATTTTTTATAGATAGAGTAGCATTAAGGATGTGCTATAGACACTGTACTTGTCAAAGCAAAACAGCAAAAAGACTCCCTATCTAGTCCTGTAGGGATTCTGACATCTGTAGCACTGATTTAACCTCATTTATATGTTATAATTTTACACCTCAAGTAAAACAACAATATGTGATTAGGCTTTCTTGTAACTCTTACAAGAAAAAAGTATTCTAGATGGCTAGTAGCTTTGAATCTTTAACATAGTCAAGTAGTATAGTTTGTAGTTTTGAAGCTTTAGCATAGTTTAGTAGTGCTACTTTTAGACAAATCAGCTTTTCTTTAGTTCAGTGGCCAGTCTTTCAATGCGTTCATTAATAAGATGGTTCAAGCCTTCAAGGCACGTGAAGCTATATATGGTCTTTATGTACATCAGTACATAACCTCTGTTCTCCTTTTATCATAATGATTAAAATTCAATTTTTTGATCTGTATCTTTAATTTTTGGAACTTATAAAGTTCTTTAGGATATTGTCTATCAATTCCATAATGAGTACTCTTTTACCCACTCCAGCACCCCCGAATAATGCCATTTTCTCATCTAGGGCGGTAAGGGGCTAAAAGATCTACTTCTTTAATTCCTGTTTCAAAAATAGATAATTTTGCATCCAACTGTATAATGGTGGTGCAGATTATGAATAGGCGACGTTGCATCCCATGAAGTGTAAGTAATTTCAGAAGCTTGCCAAACTGCCTACAAACAGTTCTCCAAAGACTTAATATGGTCTTTTTAATAAATAAATGTTTCTAATAAACCGGCATCTTAAAGCACTTTAACTTGTTTGAGAGATGCAACAGCAAAAGTTGAATATAAATAGTCATATAAGTAGAAGCATATTTATATATACATATATATATCTTACTTGTCTGAGAGATACAACAGCAAAGTTCTTCCCTTCATCATTAGCAGAGAGCAAAACCTTCTGAACCATGCCCCTTTCCGTATGCTTCAGCTTGACACTGTGATCAGCCCCTGATTCAGAAAATTTCCCAATAATGATATCTCCACTCTGGAGATTTGCCCCAATGAATGGAAAACCATCATCATCTAGGCTGTCCACTCGTCCAATTTTACTCTGGGTTTTTCCAAAGTTGACAGAGTCCTCAATCTTTAGCTTCTTAGCCATTGCTTCCTTATTGTCAACCTCAGCCTTATAGCTCCTAACATGCTCAGATCGAAACATTCCCCGCTCCAGTGAAGCACGATTCATGACCAATGAATCTTCTTGGTTATAGCCAAGGTGAACATTTACTGCGACAATTGCACATTGCCCATTGAAGTATTCAGGCCGTGGAAGCATTCCTTTCTGGTACTGAGCACATTTTGGTTTCCCAAGGGAATCTGCCAACATTGTCCGGAAAAGTGGCCTCTGAGGATAATACAGTTGATGGGTATTTGTATCAACTCTATTATTTGGATTCACTGTTGAAAACCCAATTGCCTGCTGAGAGTGCTTCTCAGATTGATAGAGGACCCTCCTAGCATGATCATGGTTTGCAAATGGGATAATACCACAGCTCAAGCCTAATAGGAATGACATGTCCAACTCACAATGAGTATACTTAGCAGGGGGGTTCTCTTTATCTGCTTTTAAGATGTACTCAACTCCCCATGCAGTTCGACAGTCTTCTTCTTCTTCAGGTCCTATAAGCTCAATAATCCCATTGTCCAGAAGAGATTGAAAGCCATAATCTCCCCCTTTCAAAGCTTTGATTTTCTTTAGATTTGAAACAACAAGAAGAGGACGCAGAATTCTTCCAGGATCAGAAAATATGCGAACTTCACCCTGCAGCTCATCTCTCTTAACTTCAACCTAGAAGAAAATTAAGATTGCTCAGTGTATGAGTATCAAATTTACAGATCCTATATAACAATATACAACGTCTTCTAAAAAAAATATACTACACTGAATTTTAATATCAATGTAAAAAAGAAAGACTTCCACATCACATCCAGTGCTAATGAAAGAAGTACTGGGTCAAATTTCCCTAGTCAAGAAACTGTATCAACTTCCATGAATTTAACTCTCATGGAAACATCAAATCAATTGCCAAATTTGTGATAAAGGTTATTTAATAGAGAACTTTTGGATTTAGTTTTATTATTCTGCCAAATCTGTGATTAAGGTCATTTCATAGAGAACTCTTGGATTTAATTTTATTGTCTAAATCCTTCAAAATTTTAAAATGTTAGTATAATTTTTATTTGGTTAGTCTGAATTTCTGCGCATTACAAAGAGATATTTCCAAAATGTGATTTTCTCCCCCATCTACCTGAGGCTTGGTGGGCAGAGTTAAT